GCAGATAAGAGACCCCGTCAGTCAGGCCGATTCAGTGGTGCCTCATCTGGAGGCAGAGATTCGTATGATAGGGGTCATCCTCCTAGGCCCTTCCAGTCAACGCTTCAGGTTTCTCACGGTGCCTCAGGTGGCCGTGGTTCTCACGCGCACTATTCTGATCAGCAGCCATTTAGTGCATCGCCAGCTCCTATCAGTGCACCGCCACTTCAGAGTTTCCGTGGTGGTCATTCAGGTCGACAGGACCAACAGACTCAGCAGCTGAGGACTTGTTACACCTGTGGTGAGACGGGTCATATTGCCAGATTTTGCCCTCGAGCACCGAGCAGTTCTCAGCACCAGGGTTCTCGTGCCATGTTTCAGGCACCAGGTGTTCCACAGCCTACCCAGCCAGCTAGAGGTGGGGGTAGAGGTGCCAGAGGTGGAGGTAGAGGTCATAGAGGTGGAGCTCAGACCGCCAGAGGTGGAGGCCAGCCAGCAGCAGGCCGTCCCAAAGAGGTAGATCAGAGTGGTGGGGCCCAGCCACGATGTTATGCTCTTCAGGCCAGGCTCGAGGCAGAGGCTTCAGATACGGTCATTACAGGTACGGTTCTGGTTTGTGATAGAGATGCTTCAGTGTTGTTTGATCCGTGGTCTACGTATTCGTATGTCATCCTATTTTGCCCCGTATTTGGTCATGCCTAGTGATGCATTGGGTATTCCTGTTTGTGTGTCTACGCCGGTGGGTGATTCTATCGTGGTCGATCGAGTCCATCGTTCTTGTGTTGTGGTGATTGGGGGTTTGGAGACCCGTGTAGATTTGTTGCTTTTAGATATGGTCGACTTTGATATTATATTGGGGATGGACTGGTTATCACCCTATCACGCTATCTTGGACTGTCATGCCAAGACTGTGACCTTAGCTTTGCCGGGTATTCCTCGTTTAGAGTGGAGAGGGACTCCTGGTCATTCTACCCGCAGTGTTATATCGTATGTGAAGGCTCGGCGTATGGTCGAGAAGGGGTGTTTGGCCTATTTAGCCTATGTTCGGGATTCTAGTGGTGAGGTTCCTTCTATTGATTCTGTGCCCGTTGTTCGTGAGTTTCCTGATGTTTTCCCTTCAGACCTGCCAGGTATGCCACCCGACAGGGATATTGATTTCTGCATTGATCTGGCTCCGGGCACCCAACCCATTACTATTACGCCATATCGCATGGCCCCGCCAGAGTTGAAAGAGTTGAAGGAGCAGTTGCAGGATCTGCTTGAGAAGGGTTTCATTAGACCCAGTGTTTCACCTTGGGGTGCGCCGGTGTTATTTGTCAAGAAGAAGGATGGGTCGATGAGAATGTGTATTGATTACCAGCAATTGAATAAGGTAACAATCAAGAATAAGTATCCACTGCCGAGGATTGATGATTTGTTCGACCAGCTTCAGGGTGTCAGGGTATTTTCCAAGATTGATTTGCGATCTGGCTACCATCGGTGGAGGATTAGGGCCTCCGATGTCCCTAAGACAGCTTTCCCCGCTCGGTACGGGCATTATGAGTTCTTGGTTATGTCATTCGGGTTGACAAATGCCCCAGCAGCTTTCATGGACTTGATGAACCGAGTGTTCAGGCCTTATTTGGACTCATTCGTGATAGTTTTCATTGATGATATATTAATATATTCCCGCAGCCAGGAGGAGCACGAGCAGCACCTTAGAGTGGTTCTTCAGACTCTGAGGGATAGTCAGTTATATGCCAAGTTCTCCAAGTATGAGTTCTGGCTGAGTTCAGTTGCATTTCTGGGTCATGTTGTATCAGTAGAGGGTATTCAGGTGGACCCAAAGAAGATAGAGGCAGTCAAGAACTGGCCTAGACCAGCATCAGCTACAGAGATCCGGAGTTTCTTGGGATTGGCAGGCTACTATCGACGGTTCGTGGAGGGGTTTTCATCTATTGCAGCCCCGATGACCAGATTGACCCAGAAGGGTGCCCAGTTCAGATGGTCGGATGAGTGTGAGGCGAGCTTTCAGAAGCTCAAGACAGCTCTGACTACGACACCGGTGTTGGTTTTGCCCACAGGTTCAGGGCCTTATACAGTCTATTGTGATGCTTCCCGTGTTGGGCTTGGAGCAGTGTTGATGCAGGATGGCAAGGTCATTGCCTATGCTTTGAGGCAGTTGAAGATTCATGAGAAGAACTATCCGGTTCATGATTTGGAGTTGGCAGCCATAGTTCACGCATTGAAGATTTGGAGGCATTATCTGTATGGCGTGACATGTGAGGTGTTCACGGATCACAAGAGCCTCAGTACTTGTTCAAGCAAAAGGAATTGAATTTGAGGCAGAGGAGGTGGTTGTAGTTGTTAAAGGATTATGATATCACCATTCTATATCATCCGGGGAAGGCCAATGTGGTGGCCGATGCATTGAGTAGGAAGTCAGCCAGTATGGGCAGTCTTGCTTATATTCCAGTAGGTGAGAGGCCCTTGCTTTGGATGTTCAGGCCTTAGCCAACCAGTTCGTGAGGCTGGATGTTTCTGAGCCCAGTCGTGTGTTAGCTTGCACGGTCGCTCGTTCTTCATTATTGGAGCGTATCCGTGAGCGGCAGTATGATGATCCCCATTTGTGTGTCCTTAGAGACACGGTGCAGCGCGGAGGTGCCAGGCAGGTTACCTTAGATGATGATGGAGTTTTGAGATTGCAGGGCCGAGTATGTGTTGCCCAATGTGGTATGGGTCTCCGTAGAGTTTGATTTTGGAGGAGGCCCATAGCTCCCGGTATTCTATTCATCCGGGGCGCCGCGAAGATGTATCAGGATTTGCGGCAGCATTACTGGTGGCGTAGAATGAAGAAGGATATTGTAGCATATGTGGCTCGTTGTTTGAATTGTCAGCAGGTTAAGTACGAGCATCAGNTTCAACCGTAGTTGAACTTCTTGGCGAGGGCACATAGCCTTGATTTGATGATGAAGGCGCTTAGCCTGAGTCTTGGTTCAACCGTAGTTGAACTTACTGGCGAAGGCGTATAGCCTTGATTTAATGACGAAGACGCTTAGTCTGAGTCTTGGTTCAACCGTAGTTGACCTTCTTGGCGAGGGCGCATAACCTTGATTTAATGATGAAGGCGCTTAGCCTGCGTCTTGGTTCAACCGTAGTTGAACTTACTGGCGAAGGCGCGTAGCCTAGATTTAATGACGAAGGCGCTTAGCCTGAGTTCCAGTTCAACTGTTGTTGAATTTGGTCGATTTTGATGGCGAGGGCGCGTGGCCTGAGTCATAGTTCAACCGTGTTTGAACTTTGTCAATTTTGATGACGAAGGCACATAGCCTGAGTCATGGTTCAACCGTAGTTGAACTTACTGGCGAAGGCGCATAGCCTAAGTCCCAGTTTAACTGTTGTTGAACTTGGTCGATTTTGATGGCGAAGGCGCGTGGCCTGAGTCATAGTTCAACCGTATTTGAACTTTGTCAATTTTGATGACGAAGGCACATAGCCTGAGTCATGGTTCAACCGTAGTTGAACTTACTGGCGAAGGCGTGTAGCCTAGATTTAATGACGAAGGCGCTTAGCCTGAGTTCCAGTTCAACTGTTGTTGAACTTGGTCGATTTTGATGGCGAAGGCGCGTGGCCTGAGTCATAGTTCAACCGTATTTGAACTTTGTCAATTTTGATGACGAAGGCACATAGCCTGAGTCATGGTTCAACCGTAGTTGAACTTACTGGCGAAGGCGCGTAGCCTAGATTTAATGACGAAGGCGCTTAGCCTGAGTTCCAGTTCAACTGTTGTTGAACTTGGTCGAATTTGATGGCGAAGGCGCGTGGCCTGAGTCCCAGTTCAACTGTTGTTAAACTTAGTCGATGTTGATGGCGAAGGAGCTTAGCCTGAGTCCCAGTTCAACTGTGGTTGAACTTGGTTGATTTTGATGGCGAAGGCGCGTGGCCTGAGTCCCAGTTCAACTGTTGTTGAACTTAGTCGATGTTGATGGCGAAGGCGCGTGGCCTGAGTCCCAGTTCAACTGTTGTAGAATTCTGTCGATTTTGATAGCGAAGGCTCGTGGCCTGAGTCCCAGTTCAACTGTTGTTGAACTTTGTCGATCTTGATGACGAAGGAACATAGCCTGAGTCCCATATTGTGGGTATTGAGTGCTGAAACTCGTTTTGGATTCGAGACCTTGAGCGGCTTATCCGTTGTCTTCCCAACCAGGGTATATAGGCTATCTTGAGGCGACTCTCGGCTCGAGATATCTCCGTGCCGGCTTCTGACCGGGGCTCGTATGCCTTACAACCTTCCCTTAGGAAGGGGGGGGGGGCTTCTTCTTCTTGTTTGCACTATCTGAGATCGGAGAGAGAGAGAGAGAGAGGACTTAGATCTTGATTTGAGATCTTCGAGTTCCTCCTCGAGCTTGGCGTTTCTTTCCTTTTGGTCCAGGGAAGAACTACGCGATTTTGCTAGGAAATCCCCACAGACGGCGCTAAATTGTTTGACTCTAAAGTTATTACATACCTTATGAGTATAAAACAATATAAATAAATCACGGAAAAATCATAGCAAGCCGTAATAATCCGTTGGACCAAATGAAGGAAACGAAAATCAGTACTCAGGATTAGGGGTAGAAACATTAGAAGCCTTTATTGATAATATTGGTTTGGTCTGCCTCTCCATGAAGAGGTTCAGAGCCTTACAATGGTGTTCCTTTTACCCATAATATGGATCCCGTTATCTCTTTTTTCTCTCTCCATAGTGGTCAAGAAGAAGCTCCCCTTTCTAGGGTTTCCTCTCTTGGTATTTATAGCTGTGAGCTTCGTGAGCTGGCAATAAGTGGCCGTGACCACGTTGGGATTTCGCCTTCATGGTGGCGGATAGGCCATGGCCTTGCTGATCGAACCAGATGCGGGTTGAACATCGTTAATTTTGAGTAGTCGTGCCACTAATTAATCTTGAATTAGCTTAAGACGGAATTAGCCTCGTTAATTATCGTGGGGTCTAATTTTGACCCATACAAAGATCTATATTCAACATACATAAAAACTAAAAGGGATAAAAAATAAAAAGCATGCATATATGGCCATGCAATATACATATAAGATAAGTTACACAACGTACAAAATCACTAAACAACATTTCATATAGCTAATTGAACACACTATAATCAAAATGAAGTACTCAAAAACATCACATATTATAATTTTTCCTTTTTATGTTCTTTAATTTCCATATCTTTTTTCCTTTTAATTTCTTCTATTTATTTTTTCATATCCTAAGTAGAAAAATACTAAGTTCAGGACCTCCATTACCATCAGGATTCATCATATAAAAAGCTTGTGAGTCACGACTACCCACAACTCGTTCAAATTTAGCCCTCATGTACAGCAACTCACCTTCCGCCGCACTAATTTTCCGGCCGTCGTCCACCACCGGAATCACTCCGGCACCGACGGACACGCTCTGCACGGTGCCAAGCACGTGCCAATCCGAATTAGTACACGCGCGTGAAAGCGCGTGCCCACACCTCCTCCCATTACAGTACATAGTCCACATGGGCTCCTGAAAAAGTTCCACGCGCCGCCTGTTTCTACTCCCACGCGCCGCCGCCGCCGTCTGTGGCGGCGGCGCCACCATTTTCTCACATTCTAACGCTATCTTCACGAGCCCAGATGACATCTCCTTCACTAAAGCCGAAGTTGAAATTGCGAGCTCGATTAAAAGCACCGGTTCTGATTTCGGATCTTCTTGAACCGCAAAGCTGACGTGTCCTCTCCGGTGACCAAATAGGGTTCCGGTGAGTTTCCGTCCAAGAGACGGCGTAATGGAAAATTGGGTTGGGAGATTAAGCCACTTGCATGCAGGAAGTATAGTGGGAAATGAGATAATGCTGATTAGTGACTTAATTAGAGCTGAAACTCCAATTCTTGATTTGGTTATTGGATTAATATTTGTTGATGACGTGGAGCTTCCATTTTTTGGAACAAGAGATTTATCTGAAAAACTCTCATTTAGATCATGGTTTATAGAAGTTGATCTTGAATAAGTGGAAGGAATTATTTTCTTGGAATTTTTGCAGCTACTTGTTCTTGAAAGAGCACCAAAAGGTTGTTGTTGTCTCATTGTATTAACCCAAAAAAAATGGACAAAATTGAAATTTTCTATAGGTTTGTAGGTATTGAAAATGGAAATTTGATGAAATAATGAAGAACCAAGAATATAGTAGTAAGCTTGTTTTCTACTACAACTCCAAAATAATATCAAGTCTCAAGAAAACAACAAACGTTTTTTTTTTTTTTTAGGTATTTTGGCTACTAAAAAGAGATTTTTGTGGGCATGTAGTTTAGCTAATGATCAAAAGCCCAAGTTTTTAGTACAAAACAAGAAAAGGCAAAAAGCAAAAAAGGGTGTCTTTAGGTTAGGTGGGGATAGAGTGGTTTTTTTAATTTATTATTTATTTTCGGCGAAAGGAGCAAGAACAAGAGCAGAAGAGAAAACAGTAAGAATTGAAACAAAATTTCATCAGCTATAAGCTTTAGTAGTGAAATAGTTTTGACCAGAAGAGAAAACAGTAAAAATTGAACTGACACTTATTTCATGAAATTTCACGAGCTATAAATTTTAGTGGTGTTGAATAGTTTTGATCACAAGAAAACACAAAGAATAATGAAGAGTATTGATCCTTTTAGCTATGAAAAAGCAAGTGGAAAGTATAGGGATTTTTGGTTGTTTTAATAGTAATATGCTCAAAATGAAGAAAAATGTTAAAAAGAATAGAGGAGAGGAGAGAGGCCGACAAGGTGATGATGAGTGTTTTGAAAGTGGCTAAAAAATAAAGGGAAACTATAGAGGTTTGTGCTGTTTGTGAAATGATTGTGATCATTTTTTTGCATTCATGCCCTCTAATATTTATATACAAATTTTGTTTTATTTTTTTAAATTAAGGATAATGATTTGGTGGTCCTGCGGAGCATGATTAAGATTACACTTGCAGGCTGCAGCCGTTCTTTGATGGTAATTTTTCGAAAAGCTTTCCTCCATAATTAGTTAATGAGCTAATTAGCACCCCTAATGGCTTTGTTGCTAGACGAGGCTTTTCCTACGCTCATGTCGCTTGCCTGTCACTCTGATTCTTTATTGGTTGCCAGCCGGGCGGACTCATGTCGCTTGCCTGTCACTCTGATTCTTTATTGGTTGCCAGTTGATCGCTAATTCGCGTCACTCTTGATTGATTTGGAGGCTTCTTTAGCCCAAACTATGTGATTGAATAAATCACCCTGCGCCAAGGGCTCCTTCTCCCTCCCCTTCTTCAAACTCCGATTCAGATATATATGTGATTCCCATTTAATCTCTAAGGAGGGTTTAGAGATGTTAATATTTTCTTTATTAACAACAACAACAACAACAACAAGAACCCAGTATAATCTGGGGAGGGTAGTGTGCACGCAGACCTTACCCCTACCCCTCCCTCCAAGAAGGGGTGTGTACGCAGACCTTACCCTTACCCTGGAGGTAGAGAGGTTGTTTCCGATAGACCCCCGGCATCCCTCCCTCCAAGAACTCCCTGTCGTGCTCTTGGATTGACTCGAACTCACAACCTCTTGGTTGGAAGTGAGGGTGCTCACCACTAGAGCAACCAACTCTTGTCTTTATTATTTTCTTTATCAAAAAAGATTTTATTTTTAGAACTCGAATTTGAAACTTCTAATTAAAGTTGGAGGAACTTTTATTATTCCATCGCACCTTTTGATGGTGATGTCATGTAAGCTTTTGAGGACTTCTAGTAGGAGTTTGGATGAGAATTTCAATTAAAGTTCAAGAAAATATATTGAAATTTTATGAAAGTTAGCTTCTTATCGTATTTTTGGATCGATCAATTAAGGGTGTGTTTGGTATGAATGGAAAATATTTTTCGGAAAATATTTTCATGTTTGGTTGGCTTAAATGTTTTGGAAAATATTTTCCTTATCAATTTATTTTCTCCAATTGGAGGAAAATATTTTCCTTCTCAAGATAAGGGAAAACATTTTCCCAAACTCCTTCTCATCCTCCCCACCCCCACCAACCCTCCCCACCCCCTCTCTCCAAAAAGGCTTTATTTTTTTTTAAATTTCAATTTTTCTGTTACCACCCACCCTACTACCCCTCCACCCCACCCTCCCTCCCGCTAAAAAAAAAATATTACCTTATTTTATTTTATTTTGCAATTTCAAATTTCTATTTTTTGTTTTTCTGCACCCCCCACCCCTCGCCGCCGCCGCACAAAAAAAAAATTCTCCCCCCGCCCCTGTACCCCCCCCCCCCCTTTCCCGGAAAAAAATATTTTTTAAATATATTTTTCAGTTTTAGTTTTTTTTATTTATCGGTTTAAAGGTTCAAAATTTTACAAGTTCCAAAGTTATGAGTTCGGAGGTTTATGTGTTTGGAAGTTTACGAGTTCGAAATTCCGCGATTTCGAAAGTTTATGAAATTTGTGGATTCGGAAGGTTGTTGGTTTGAAAGTTTATGGCTTCATGTTTATTATATCTAAATTATTTATGAATACTCTTGAGAAGTCATTTTTTCTTAATGCGTCCCAGACACCGGAAAATGAATAAGAATACTACTTGTTTTCCAAGAAAATATTTTCTTGGAAAATATTTTTCACGAAAAACATTTTCCGTTATACCGAACACACCCTTAAGTTTTGACACAGCTCGAGTACTTTTTCCCCTTTTAGGTTTGATATGTAAAAATACTAATAAGATTAATTCAGATTCATATTTAAAAAAATTATTTTAATAGATCAATAAAGCAACTCGTCTTTAAGAATTTCTTCATTTTCAGAATTCGAATACATTTTAGTTGATACTAACTAGGTAAATTATAGTATTTATTATATTAAAAAATTTAAATTTTTAAATTTATCTTTTGGGACGGTTCCAAACAAAGCATTATTATTTGGGTGCTGTGGCTAATCGGATTGGTGGCCTAACCTCAATTAGACGGCCTGGATTAAATTGACTTTTATTAATCCTGACACGTTGACTCTTTCCTTATTAAGCAGATATTAAATTCTTTTTCTTTTCCATAAGCATGTAACATCTTCCTTTGCATCACCATCCTCCTTTATTTGATTATTTATGTATAAAATAAAAATTTATAAGAAGAACAGTTTAACTTTTATATACCTATGAAGTAAAAGATATTTATGCAATAAATCATTTACATGGTAGAAACAGGTAAACTTGCAATAATCAATATTAATTAATAATTTGATGAAAATGATAATATCTTAACTTATTATAACATGTCATATTACACTAGCACCTTACAACTTAAATCCAAAAAGTAACTGAGAATTATTATGGAAATTATCTTCAAAATAGAAAGAAAAATCAAAAGTATTACAATTGGGTTCGTAAAGGTAATTTGCACTTTAAGCGGACTTTTTAGGGTTCACTAATTATTTAATTAATATTTTCAAGAAATTTTAGCTTCATTATTTTATTAATACTAATCATCTTGAATTTATATCACTTGATTGCAATATCGTTATTATTAAAATCAGTTTAAATGATTACTAATTAAGATTGTTGAGAGATGTTGGTATATCTACTCGAACAACTTTTTTAAAAAATAAAAATAAAACTAAGCTACATGACGCTTGGAAATATATATTTTCACCTCCTACGTAGTATAAATTTCACAAAATTGTAATAAAAGTTTTTACTTCCTTAACTATAAAATCGCGTTCACATTGATGTTTTAATTACATACTTGATGTTTTAGAAAGGAAAAAATAAAGAGGACGTGAGAAAGAAAAGTGGTACAGTTGGTTGATTTTAGACATTAATGTTTTCCAACATTTTAAAGATTGTATGTTAAACACACAAATTTATATCAGTCATTAGAATATTCTGATCACATATTGAATTGTCCAATAACAATTTTTAGGGATGAAAACTTTATTGTCATGGACAAAAAAGTTATTTGACTAAAATTATTTTGTACGGCAAAAAAGTATGTTGCCCAAGAAAAGAGAGGAATATATTTGCCCATGTTTAATTCAAAGTAAATAAAGGGTGTATTTGGTATAAAGGAAAATGTTTTCCATGAAAATATTTTCATGAAAAATGAGTAACTTTATCACTTATTTTCCCTTGTTTGGTTTGTGAGTAGAAATTTTTTTCTGAAAAATATTCTCTAGTGTTTGGTTAGAAAGTATAGGAAAATATTTTTTTATGGTACTCTCTTCACCCCCTTCCCCAAGTCCACATGTTTCCTTGCTCCCCCGCCCCCCCC